CCCCAAAACCCCAAAACCCCAAAACCCCAAAACCCCTTCAATTAAATTAAAGTGAGAATTAGGAAAGTTTAAAATAATTTAACGTTTAAAATAATTAATAATGACAACTCCTTATTAGCGCTATTTGCAATTGATGTAATAGAGGTAAGAACCAAATCAGGGTTCTTCAGATATTTCGAAACAGTTATCTTTAAATACTTCTAATATAAGCATCTAGCCTAAGGTAGATAAGTTGCCTACTTAACAGAAGTTAAATCATAATTAGAGTTAGGGTAATATTCAAATGAAGAATGAGTCTCCGATTTTTAGCGGGAATTAATAGCGATACATCCCTTAGACAATTAAGAAGCCGTAAACCCACTTCGCTAACACCAACTCCTTAAATACTAGCTTTGCACCTAAAGATTTCTTCAAGAACAAAGTAGTTTCCCCTAAAACTAAGGCTTAATAAGATATGAATATTCAAAAAAGTTTGCAATAAAATTTTAAGTCAACAAGTTTTGGAAACCTCGATCAAATAAACTACGGGGGCTCAGGCCAGAAATCATATGATACCTCACTACTTTTTAAGAAAGGAAATCATCCAAACTATAATCCTAATTTCAAAAAAGGGAGTTATAGTAATTAATGGGGAGCCAATCGAACATACTCAGCAGGCAGCCAAGCTTCTAGAAAATCGGGATCTGGCCAGAAACTAATCTACCTAGAAATAGTAGGTCCGAACACAATTGCACTGAAATTTGAGAATTTCTATGACCCAGACATTAAAGACAAGATTAAGGCAATGCCTGATGCGAGATATGAACATCAAACTAAAGAGTGGCTATTAAGAAAGGATCTCAAAGAAAGATTACTAGAATAAATCGGTAATGATTGCATCGAGAGAGGTGTTCAAGTGTTTGATACCCCTAATTTTGTTTATGATATTCTTAAAAACACAGTGCCTTTCTCTAATTCTAAATCATTTAAGAGTTTTGGGTTAAATTATGAACAAGAGGTAAAAAACCTACCAAAGTTAGAAAAACTGCCTACAAGTCTAGCTGGCAATCTTTATGAGTTTTAGAAAAAGGGTATAGAATTTGGAATATCTAGATTTGGCAGGATTCTCTTGGGAGATGAAATGGGAGTTGGTAAAACTATCTAAGCAATTGGAATAGCCTATCTATATAAATTTGATTGGCCTCTATTCGTCGTCACTCCCTCTTCATTGAGATATACATGGAAAGATGAGATTCTGAAATGGCTTCCTTAAATCAAGTCAGAATAGATTTAAATATTCAAAACAGGCAAAGATCAATGGAATTCCCAAGCTATCATATACATTATGACTTATGACTTAGCAATGAAAAGGTATGAAGAGATTGATGAGAGAAATTTCAAAGTTTGTGTAGCCGACGAGGCTCATTATCTAAAGAGTAGGGATTCAAAGAGAAGCAAGCATTTAATTCCAATCCTGTCAAAATCCAAAAGAGTTATCCTAATCAGTGGAACACCAATGCTAGCTAAACCTGAGGAGGTATATAATCTCCTTAAGATACTAAGACCTGATATAATTGGAAAATTTACAGAGTTTGCAGCTAGATACTGTAATCCTTAACAGACTCCATATAAAATAGATTATGGTGGTAACAGTTGTACTAAGGAACTCCACTATGTTTTGAGTTAGAGTATTATGATTAGAAGACTTAAGAAAGATGTATTGAGTGAGTTACCTCCAAAAAGGAGATAAAAAATTTAGGTTCAAACAGATCCAAAGTTACTGGCATAGATAAAAAAGATTTTGAATAATCTAATGGACGGATAAAGTGAGATGACTGACAATTTGATATAAACCCTTATAACCAAGCATATTAAACCTGTTAACTTTGATGACTATATTGATGAATAGAAAAAGGAATAGGCTTAAGCTTAAGATATCGGTTTTATGACTGCCTATAGATTAACTGGGTTATCCAAAATAGATGGAATCACTGAGTTCATGGACACACTAATTGAGAATAATTGCAAGTTTATAATCTTTGCTCATCATTTGGAAGTGCTGGATGGTTTAGAAGAGCACGTAAAAAAAGAGAAAGTAGGCTATATAAGAATTGATGGTTCAGTATCAGTCGATAGGCGACATGAAAGAGTATAAGCGTTTTAAAATAATGATAACATTCGAATTGCTGTTCTTAGTATCACTGCCTGCTCCTAAGGACTGACACTTACAGCTGCCTCAACTATTGTGTTTGCTGAAATGTTCTGGACTCCTTCTATTATGACTCAGGCTGAAGATAGAGCTCATCGTATCTCTTAATAAAACTGCGTCAATATTTATTACATGCATGGCCCTGACACTGTTGATGATATAATATTCTAAATGCTAAGTGAGAAAAGTTAAATTGTTAGTGATGCCTTAGATGGGAAAATTAGCGAGTATCACATAAAGAAAGCTTAACTGGAGGAATGTTTAGAGGAGGTTAAAGAACTTAAAGAGAAAGGTACTCTTAATCCAATAATCACCAAAAAGAAGAAGGAGCCTTCAAAGAATAAGATTGAGGATTTCTTTAAGAAATCGAAAGATACAGAAAATAACTTTGTGAAAAAAGTTTCAAAGTCAAAAAATCCTCCATTAATTGAGGAGGACATAGATGAAGACTCAGAATCAGAAGAAGTATATTAGTCACAAACTCAAATAACTTAATCTAAGAAAAGATAGATTAAAAGTAGTAAGCAAATAGAATTACCAGAAATTGATGCCAATTAAGACTAAGAGGATGAAGAATTTAAATAAGAAATTGAAAAATAACGAAAGGCATTAAAAAATTAAACTTAAGAATTTGGATTAAGAACAGGCTTTAGAAGTAGAAACACATCAGAGGATAATGAAATACTAAACGAAAGTATAAAATTATTAAATAAAATCAAGCCTTCGTAAGAAATAGAATTGAAAAGTATCTAAGATATGAATTAGATAATTGAGAAGTAGGAAATTCTTAGCCTAGATGAGGATTTAAAGGATATTGCAGATGAAATTAAGGAGATAGAATAATCTATTAAAGAGACATAAGATGAAAAAATTTAAGTAAAAGATGTCAAGAAGCACATGCTTAAGGCGAAGTAAACCAAGCCCAGAAATAAAAAAAGGAAAATAGAAGAACTCCTTGAAGTTGAAGCCGAGGAAGAGGAGGATGATGATTATTAACCCTAAAAAAAGAAGAAATAGACTAATAAAAAAAGAAAACTAAACAAATCAAAGAATAATGAAGTTCAAGATTGAATAATGATATTAGCGAAAGTAATGATTTATTATTGAAAAATAAGATATTGATTGAGATATTTAAGCAATGAAATAAGATTATTTTACTTATTTTGATAATTTCAGAGATTTAGATTTTAGTATAAACATTAAAGAGAATGTGATGTTTCAACATTTCTGCTTAATTCTTCTTCTGGGGTTTTGGGGTTTTGGGGTTTTGGGG